ACTTTCTCTTGATATCTGCCCTTCTGGTGATCATTTCTGGCATGGTTATCATGAGGTTGTCTGTTAATGATTTGTCTTTTATTTTTGTTATTCTGAAAACCCTTTCTGTTGTTAGGTTTTCTGCCAGGTTCATTAATTTTCAAAAAGGATTTCTGTTGAACCTTTACCTTCCCTTTTTCTAGTCTGACTTCCTCATGAGCAACCTTGGTGCCAGATACACCAGCTTGGCAGGTGGGGCTAGAAATCAGTGGCACTGTGACCTTGTCTACCTTAGCAACACTGGTGCTAGGCATTACAGAAGGCTCACCTGATTCTGTGTAGCCATAACCAAGACCAAAACCAATGCCAATCTGTTGATCAAGTAGTAACCTTTCCATTGAAGACTGGGCCTTCTGGTAGGTGTTGTACTCAATCTCGATTGACTCCATTTTCCTTACCTTCTTTAGAAGGGAAACATTTTCAGTTTCCAGCTGATCTCTTTCTTTAATGAGAAGATTGATTTTGATCTCAACCTCCTTTCTTAAGTCAAGGATCTCAGCCTTCAACTTACTGTTTTCTTCTTTGACAGAAGAGTAAGTGGCTTGGATGGCTTTAAACTCTTCCCAAAATTCTGACATTGAATCAGAATCAAAAGCTAAGCCTACCGAAGAAAAACTAGATGTAGAAGTAGAGGTTACCTCATCATCAGAATGAGCCATGAGGCATAGGTCTTTTGTCTCAGTATCAAGGCAACAGAAGGCCTCATCAGAGTCGGAGTCAGAACTGGATTCTGTCTCAGACAGAGGGTCTTTCTCGAGCTGTTCTGTGACGAGTGCTTTCCTCCTTCTGGTATTGTCTTCATAATTCTTATTTTCTCCATCATGCCCTTGTCTCTTGGACACTCTTGGATGTGGACAATCTGCCTTGAAATGTCCAGGTTGTCTGCAGTTGTAACAGAGAAGCTCTCCACTGCTCTCTGTTGGTTTGGTCTTCTGGAATGGCTTTCTGCTGGATGATGGACTTCTTCCATCTTTGGGGTTCTTCATAAACTTCTTGAATCTCCTAGCAAAAGCAGCCATATATTCGTCAGATAAAAGTATTGAGGGGTCAAAGTCATTTACCTTTGATGTACTGGCAGTGAGGGCTGTGGTGGTCCTCTCTTCTGGTCCATCTTCCTTCTCTTCAATCATTTCAAACTCATGAGCTTTGAGATCTGAAATGAGCTTGTCTGTGGGATAGGTCTTCACATCTTTGCTGGCTTGAACAACAACTACTTTCATCTTCCAAGCTGATGGAAGACCTCTCAACACCTTGAGGTTGATCTCCTTGGTGGTGAGTTCCTTGCCAAGCTCAGAGATCTCTCCAGTGAGAGTGAGGAGCCTGTCATACATCTTGGAGATGCTTTCACCAGGAAAAAGCTTAAAGTCATCAAACTTCTTGTTGGCTATTGTCAGCTTGTTATCCTTCTCTTGCTCATCACCAGCTCCAATGAGCTCAAGAGTATCCCAGATTTCCTTGGCAGTCTTGCACTTCTTTATCCTGTTGAAGTATCTATCATCGATGGACTTGTAAAGAATGTTTTTAGCAATATTGTTCAGATTGTACTTTCTTCAGTAGTCCACTCAGATTTGCCCTTATTGATCATCTCAGGTCTGGTGTTGTCAATAGCATGCTCAGGGTTGACCTTCTGGAAGCCTGTGAATGGCCCAATGTCAAGTACTTCCCACATCTCATCATGCAGAGCACAGAGATGTGCCTTCATTCGGATCCTCCAGTCATCAAACTTAAGATCTGAGAACATAAGATTCTTGGAAAGAGAGTGATCCATTATATCAGATTAAAAACAATGAGGCAAACAGAAAACAAGTGGATCTTTGTTCAGCAAATAACCTAAGAGATTATTAGAACAAGGGGGCTCTGATACCACTTGTTGGTCCCGGTTGTAATGGATACAGTCTAGAGGGGGGGTGAACAGACTGTATTGGTTTTTAACTTTTTCAAGCTAAGTACCAGATTTAACAGAATAGCCTGTTCTGTTGGCAGAACAGACTGGCAACGGATGGGGTTCTGGTAGTGGTTCTGTCAGATTAGCCTCAGAGAAGCAAAGGCAGTAGGCCTTCTGTTAACTCACTAGACATGTTCTGCTGAACACAGAGACCAAGTCTTTGGAGTTAATCAGTTCTAACTAAATGCGATAAGTAAATGCAGTAAGTAAATGCAGCAAGTAAATGACACCAGGGATTTTTATAGTGGTTCAAGGAACAACTCGTTTCTCTAATCCACTGTTTCACTAAGCTTGTAAAAACGTCCGTTTACAATGTCTTAGTCCTATCACTTAAGAAGCTCTCCACGTCTTCTTCAAGTGTAGATGCCTTCTGGGATGCACTTCCTGGCTTCCTTTAAGACTGGTCCTTTCACTGAGCTTCCCGGAAGTATCACCACTTCACTGCTCCAGGTACTTGGACGTCCTTCTTGTAAAAGAAGAGTTTCTGTTGAAACAGGGGTTCCTCCAACTTGCTTCGTTACAAAAGATTTGTAGATGAAGTGCTTGAAGTTGTTGAAAAATGAATGGAACTTTGCTTGAGTTGGAAATGAAAAGATGTGAGTAGATAATCTTTCCAACGTCTGCCTTCTCTTGTAGATGATGATGATGATTTAATCTCAAGGAGTCTTTAGCGTTTCAATGTTTGAATGTTATTGTATTTTCAATGTTGTAGCAAAATTATCCGGTTGTTCTTCGTAGTGCATCTTTTATACTGGGGTTGTCTTCCCGTTGGAGGAGAAGAAGGACAACTGCATTAAATGTGCGAGCAGTTGACTTGACCAGTAGGACCCAGCAAAGTTGGCGGGTTACTATTTTGGGATAAAGCTATCCTGACATTGCGGCCAATCATCTGCATTTACTCTACAGAGTACGGGAGCATTAAATGTGCATTTAATGCGCGTACTGTAGCTTTTCCGTTGAAGTCTTCTAGCCGTTGAAGGAATCTTTCATTGGTTTCACCGGTTGAAGTAGTATCAAGAAAATTCTCCAAGTGTCAGGCCTTCTGGTGTCTTCAGCAGAAAGTCTCTCAGAGAAGGTCTCAAGCACTTCTGTTTGAATAGCTATCAGAGGGTCCTTTAGGTCTTCTGTCAGATGCAAGCTAACAGAAAGTTAAGAGGGTTTCTGTTGTAGTGTTGTCCAACAAAGATCCAGAGGTTTTCTGTGTGAGTAAGAATCAACAAAGAGACAAAGGTCTTCTGTTAGGACAAAGCCTATCAGATGGTCTTCTGTCAGGATGTCTTCTGTCAGGAGGTCTTCTGTCAGTCGACTAATCTAAGAAACTTTACAAGCAAAATTTCTAAAACATTAAGACTAAAGAGGGGTACTCTAAATTTCTAATTAGTATAGCATCATCAAAATCTAATTACAAATATTCCTTACACTCACCGCTCACACATCGGCCACCACCCCCTCACTCCTCCCCCGGCATACTCGGCCCACACCCACAAGCCCACTACTCCAACAATACCCCAACCCCAACTCCAACCGATATTCAAGCCGCCATGCACACCATGACACATTCCCCGCCGGACAATAATTGGTATATGGACACCGGGGCGACCTCACATATGACGTCCTCCTCAGGTACTCTCGCTCCTTATTTTAATTCGTGTACAAACCATCGCATCCTGTTTGGAAATGGCATGACTATCCCAATAAAGGGTCACGGCCACACCTCTCTTCCCACCACCCCCCTTCGTTTACAAAATGTTCTTCATGCCCCACAATTAGTTAAAAATCTGATTTATGTCCGTCAATTCACTATTGATAATAATGTTTCCGTTGAATTTGACCCATTTGGTTTTTCTGTGAAGGACCTCCAAACGAGGAGAAATATTCAACGGTGCAATAGCTCCGGACACCTCTACCCGGTCAGTCCAAGTCACGGCTCCTCCCAAGCCACCGCCTTATTAACCATTCCTGCAGAACTCTGGCACAGTCGCCTTGGCCATCCGGGGGACCCTGATTTTAATTGTCTTAGAACAAATAACGTTATTTCATGCAATAAGCTTCATGCGTCTATTTGTACGTCCTGTGAAATGGGCAAACATGTTAAGTTACCTTTTTCTCATTCATTGTCTACTACGTCCAAACCATTTGAAATAATACATAGTGATTTATGGACTTCTCCCGTGTTAAGTAATACCGGCCATCTTTATTATGTATTGTTTTTAGATGATTACACCAAATTCTTGTGGATTTACCCTCTACATCATAAATCCGAAACTTTTACCACGTTTGTCACATTTTATAATTTTGTTCATACTCAATTTGAACGATGTATAAAATTTTTACAATGTGACAACGGCACCGAATTTCGTAACACCAATTTTACCCAATTTGGTGCCTCCAAGGGCCTCCACTTTCGCTACTCGGGCCCGTACACATCTCCTCAAAATGGCAAAGCTGAACGCACCATCCGTACCATAAACAATATGGCACGAACCCTTCTTATTCACGCCGCCTTACCACTCAAATTTTGGCCCTATGCAGTTAAAATGGTCACATATCTCCATAATATACTTCCCTCTCAAACCATAAATTACCAAACCCTCACATCCCTTTTATACCATAAACTACCTCTCTATGACCACCTTCGGATTTTCGGGTGCCTTTGTTTTCCCCACATACCCCCCACCATCATACACAAATTACAACCTCAGTCAACTCCAAGTATATTTTTGAGGTACCCCGACAATCTGCATGGACTTATCCACACAAAAAATATTTGTATCCTGTCACGTTACTTTTAACTAACGAGGCCATTTTTCCATTTCTAACACCCACCAAAAACATCCAGTTCGGCTCCCCCTTCTTCCGATCTTATTCACCCTCTCCTACGCATGCCATATGCATGCCCCATGCAAAACCCGTACACTCCGTCAACCCCCATCCCCTTACAACAAACCTCCAGCCCCGTACTAAACCCCACTCCTATAAATGTTCCTCCACCACCCTCTCCCTATAATTCCTCCAACCACACACCACACTCTCCTCCCCCGTCACCTAACACTCCAGCCAGAGAGCCCAATTCTCCATCTAATACCATCCCATCGCAACAACCACCGTCCTCTTTCCCCGGAAATCACCCAATGATCACTCGGGCCAAAGCCGGGATTTTCAAACCTAAGCATTTCCTAAATCTCTCGGCAATCCTCCAACCCTCCCCCATCCCAAAAAACCCCATTACTGCCCTACGTGATCCTAGTTGGAAAACCGCCATGGATGATAAATTTTGTGCACTTATTAAAAATAGGACGTGGGAGTTGGTTCCCCGGCAGCCCGACACTAACATTGTACGTTGTATGTGGTTGTTTAAACATAAATACAGGTCGGATGGCTCTCTTGAACGTCACAAAGCACGGCTGGTAGAGAACGGCAACTCTCACCAATTCGGCGTTGACTGTGAGGAGACCTTCATTTTGGTGTCTTGGACTTGTCGTAATATGAAAAGGGAGTGATCACACTTGCTATGTCAAATATGGTCAAATTCTCCGCTTACATGGCTTTTGCCACATTCGGTCCCCCGACTATTGTATCAAAATCGTAGTGGAGTGATTAAAAATATCAATTTGATAAGACTCAGTGACTAAATGTGGAAAACTCTGAAGTTGGGGACTAAAAGGGTATCTAGCACCATAATTGAGGACTAAAATGGAAAAATTAAAAGTCGAGTACCAAATATGTCGCTGACACAATAGTCGGGGGACCGAATGTGACAAAAGCTCTAAATTTGAATTATGAAATGCTGTGTGTGACTCCCTTATTATTGACTTCACATAGTACATGTTAACATTACTTTAATTTTAGAATCATTGTGTAACTCATTAAATGATGCAAATGCTAATATAATATAAAAAAATTCACACTTTTACATTACAACATTTAATTAATTTTATAATAAGTTTAATTATTGATTTGATTGTGAATTAAATCATATTGTAAATTATGTTTCAAATTAAATACTTCACTTAGATGCATAAATACACTCAATTTATATCGCGAGTAAAGAAATTAGAATTATAATATGAAAACATGGTAACAATATGCATATGATAACAATATGCATATAATATGAACGCATTCAAAATCTTGACAGTAAAAGTTTTATAATAGCTGCAACTGCAGTCACTGCAATTCAACGTTGTCGCAATAAAAAACATTGATATAAGCTAAATGGTAAATATATAATATATGGTGATGGATAATTTAATATATAGTTATTTAACACAAAAAGTTATTATTGTTTGTGGTTAGATCATAGTGAAAATGCATTATAATAATCTTTGGATCTTATGAATAATTCACAATATCTATTAGTATTTTTCATTTAATTTAACTCATACTAGTATCAAATTGACGCACTACCGGGACATTGCCCCGGGCTTTACACTAGTTCATCTATTAAGACAAACTTAAAGTCCTATTAATTCATCTATTGAGACTTCGAAAGCATGTGAAAAGTCAAACACGTAAAATGCAAAAACTTAAAGCTCATTTAATTTGTTAAGCTTCAAATGAATGAATCTTAACAAATTGGACACTATAGTTTCACGAGAATTTCATATTGAACATTAAGATTTTTTTTAAATAGATCAAATTGGACACTATGGTTACATATATATCTCATATTGGACACTGAAATTTCATAATTCATAGTTTTTGGACACTCACTTATGATTCTCTTCTTCCTTTAATAAAAATTGTTAGTCTTACATTTCCTTTCCTTTTGGTGAAAATAAACCAATTTAATTACGTATATAATTTTGGAATATTTAATTTGAAGTTTTAGAATATATAATTTGATTTTAATTAATAACTTCTCATATCTAACAATTTAAAAATATATTTAGGACTTTTCATTCATATGATTTTTATTGAACTTTAAGAAATATCGATTTGTTAAATTGATTTAAAAATATTAAAGAATTCAATTGCACTTGTTGGGATATTGACCCGGAGGTCCAATACCCGGATTAAAGGCCCAGGACATCCAGCCCAAACAACGAGTCCGCTACCTTATGATAAGTAGGCCCAGTGAGATATTCATATCGAACGAGGTTCGGGCCAAGTAAAGGTTGGCCCAGAGAACAGACATACCGAACGGGGTTCGGATCATTCATCATACTTGGGCCAAATCAACGATGTTTTACAGGGCCCATTATCATATTCGGGCAACGGACAACCAGCAGGTGGCCAGGTGCAATTAATGCCAGATTGTGACATCATCAAGTGGAGGCATGGGTGATCAGGTCGGTGGAATATCGGCCAATCAGCATAAAGCATCTCATACTCTCCATTAGTATAAATAGAAGGTTTAATATCATTGTAAGGGTTAGCTTTTTAATACTCAAGCCCTAGAATAGCCTTATTACTCTTGTTTCTTGTATTAAGCATCAATCCGACGTACCGTTCGGGTAATTTGCTTGTAATCAAACAGGTCAATCAATACAAGTGGGCTTTTGAACATTCGATTATCAATCTTTTATATTTTCTTTTACATACCGAATTATTGTCCATTTCCTGATATATCCAAAGTCTGTGTTGGGCTTTCGGATCTACGGGACTAAACCTCAACAGCACTCTAATAGATTTCCTTATTTAGAGCATCTAATTATATATTTTAAATCTAAATACACAAATTAATTAAGTTATTTTTTTAGGTACATAAACCAAGAGAAAAAGGAATACTTATATCTTTCAAGGTGAAAAACTTTGATGGGTGTCCGAAAATGGACAGAAAAAAACGTAAAATTTGATCAATTTGAAATTTTAGTGTCTGATATGAGACACACAAGTAATCATAGTGTCCAAATTGGTTCATTTGAAACCTTAGTATCCAATATGAGATTCTCGTATAACCATAATGTCCAATTTGACCCTTATCCCTAGATTTTATGGTTGAAATGATTGAAAACAGATATCTAAAATATATTTGAATACTAAAATATCCCTTCATACTCTAGACTATAATCAAACTTTATTAACTTTGACCATTATTTATTTGAAAATCATTCATTATTACTTCATAGTATTAAAATAATTTCGAAATTTTATCTAAAAATCATATATTGTTGAAATGTTAGTTTACTATAGATTTTATAAAAAAAAATTAACCCGATAGGTAAATCTCTAAAATCAGTGAAATAAATGTCGAGGGACATTTTATCAACAATCTGCATCAGCCCAATAGACAAAGTTCTGAACCTTTCTCTGCCCCAATCAGTACTGAAAATGTGGACACTGTTGTGACTAAATATTTTAACACTGCTGCAGCCCCAATTTCAACCCCTATTGATGCCTTTAATGCTTGTACAATCAAGGTTTCTGGAACTTGTGATACCTTTCCTGATGCTGCAAATGCAGGCCCTCTTCCAGATGCCTATGATGATCATCAAAGCCAACATACAAGTGTTGTACTTTCTGATGAAAAAACAAAGTCAAATGCCCCTAGTGATGCCACAACTTCTACAAACAGAATTTGATGAGCCCCCGTGGCTACCTGTAAAAAGGTGGTAATCGAGGGAGTTCAAACTATACGTGCAAGTCCTACTCTTGGAATCCCGATTGATGCTAAATTTGGAAATGAAGAACAAAATTCTGATCCATATTTGGCAATTAACCCTGCGGATACTACACTTGATCCACCCCGGTCCAATGATGATAATATATATGAGGACAACCCCCTTATTACTAACTTTTCCAATGCAGGTCATCCACATCTACCAGCACAGGTAGACCTAGATGGCTTTACTCCGGTGAAGGCAAAGAAAAATAAAGGCAATTGTGGGGAGATTTCCCAAAATAGGAGTAAATGAAGTTTGAAATTCCAAAATAGGACCACTTTGTTTTTATTCTCGAAATGAGACTAACATGACAGTATTTACTGTCATCTTGTAACTGTGACTGCCAAATATTTGCAGTACAGTGCATTTAACATGACAGTATTTATTATAATTAATGACAATACTTTTCAATCGTGGCAGTATTTTTCATACATGACAGTAATAACTCATATTTCAGGATGAAAATCATATTAGTCCTATTTTTGGAATTCCAAGTGTCATATGATCCTATTTTGGGTAATTTCTCGCAATTGTGCCATGCTCCCAAACGGAACTGCGAAACCCAAACAACTATTCTATGAGGTGGGATACACATCACACCTGATTATCACAAGTAGACTTGGACTCGGGCCGGGTCGGGCCGGCAGTTCTGAATAGCTGGACCCGGGACCGGCCCGGGTAGCCACCGGGTCCGGTCCGGGTCCGGACCGAGCCTCGGGTTTGGTTATTTTTTTTTTTTTGCTTACCTACCCATCCTTGACCCCCCCCCCCCCCCTCACCCCCCCCCCCCCAAACACCCCAAACCCCTCCTAAACATCAAGCCCAACCCAGGTGGAGCCCAAACAAATGAAAAAAAATCAAAAAAAAATCAATTTTGCCTGAACCTGGCCCGGGCCGGGCCTTGTTTTGGGTGACCCAAGCCCGGACCGGAAACACATCGGGTCGGGCCTACCCGGACCGGTCACTGACCGGGCCACCCGGCCCAAGTCCAAGTCTAATCACAAGAAGTCAATCCAGAAGTCCGCAAAATGAAGATGACTATTACATTTACCCTGTTGATGCGAGGCTGGACTCTCCACACAAACTTGTTACGTCATTAGCACGATACAGGTCTTCTAAACCGGAAGCAAAAACCTATCAACCCTATCTCCGAAAGACTATTCAGTTCCATAACAGATATAACAGATCCATTTCGGCTAGAGTCAGAATACCTTCAAAAAACTTCGACTATTAAACTCTTGTTTCTTCTTTCAGCTTTTGACTTTTTGCTTTTTCTTATCTGTACCATTTCTTAAACTTTCTTGTAATCTACTTATTTTTAATAAATTTGGGTAGTGTTCCCCGGCTCTCCCGCCAAGGCGCCACCACTTGTGGTTATTTCCGGGGAAGCAAAAAAAAACATATAATAGATCAATTAAATTTCCAACTAAGAAATATATATATATATATATATATATATATATATATATATATATATATATATATATACACACACACACACACACACACACACACACACACACACACACACACACACACACAAATGTTCAGGTCAGGTATTCCAGACCAGAACCGTCGTCCGGACGGCGGCGTTTGGCAGCCTTCCCGGGGAATTTTTTGATGAAATTTTTATGGCATGTTCTTCATCAAGTCTAGTTTATCCACAAAACAATTCAGCTAAAAATGAATTCGGGAAGGTCATCAAATAATTTTTGGAAGTTAATTGCTTTTTATATGTATTTTCCGGCGTAGTTATCTTTCAAAAATCATTTGACGATCTTTCCAGTTGTTTTTTAGCTGATTTTTTTGTGGATAAACTAGATTTGATGAAGAACATGCCATAATAATTTCATCAAAAAATGTAACCGGGAAGGGCCCTAAATGATGCCATCCGGACGGCGCTTCTGGTTAGGAATTCTGGACCGGAACACTACTATATATATATATATATATATATATATATATATATATATATATATATATATATATATATATATATATATATATATATATATATATATATAGGAGAGGGTTCTAGTGAGAATCCCTCTTAAAATGAGAACCCAAATTTGAAGTGGTTCTCGGTTGTATTTTTGACTGGAATTTTTTGTGTATGTTCCTAATCAAGTCTAGTTCATCCATATCAAATTTGAGCAAAAAAAAAATCGAGAAAGTCCTCAAATGATTTTTGAAAGATAACTACTTTTATATGTATATTTCGGACCAGTTTTCTTTCAAAAATCATTTGACGACCTTCCCGATTGAATTTTTTGCTCAAATTTGGTATGGATGAACTAGACTTGATGAAGAACATACACAAAAAAATTCAACCAAAAAAATCACCCGAAACCAGCTCAAATTTGGGTTCTCATTTTAAGAGGGGTTCTCACTAGAACCCTCCATATATATATATATATATATATATATATATATATATATATATATATATATATATATATATATATATATATATTATACTTAATCAAATCTAGTAAAATCAGTGAGTTATATGTTTTGGATCAAATAAAAAACACCCTTAACGATCGAACATAGTATTGTAGGAGGAGGAGGAGGTATATAATAATTAGTATTTTTTTATCGTCATTTACTTTCGTTAGACACAATATATAGTTATATACATTGAACTATATTTATCACAACATTTTTATATATTTCCAAATAATTAATTGCATACTAACTGCTAGTTCAAATAAATGCCAAAACCATGCTGTTCAAGTAAAAGCTATGTCAACAACTCAACACTCAAGAGTCAAAAAGCTTATATTTTGATCAAGATACGTTTGCATTGGCTAGAGAGCTGCAGAACACAACACCCAGGGGTGTCCGCATACAATGCGGCCCGAGCATAACAACATAAGAGTCACTGGTTCTCAGCTGTGGCTGCACCCATTCCCAAATCTTTTTCTTTTGAACCTGCACAGGAGGAATTCAACAGTGACAGAAGCAATCATATTTAAGGTCCTCTCAAGGGAAATCAATGCATAATCTGAACAATAGCTTTCTGGCACAGATGAGGCTGCTATTCTCACTCAATTGCAATTGATCCCATACAAAGTGTTAGTACTTAGTAATTGAAGAAAGATAAAGACAGGACAAAAAAAGAACTAAATAACAAATTGACTCTTTCTTGAGAAAGAGAATAGAGAGAGACACGCAAAAAATAGCAGGTGTCCCCAGTCTCCAGATTCTTTCTTCTGCCCACTTGTGCAAAGCAAGAATATGTGGAAGGGCTAATTGCTCTCTCATTTTCCCCCTCTTTCCAAATTTACAAATTATACTAATTAATGATGTTTTGGTCCATTTCCAAAACAAAATCCTACTTTTCTTCCTCTTCTAATTTTTTCATTATTCTCTGCCAAACAACTCAAAATCCACTAATTCCCAATTTTTTCTAGCCCCACTCTCTCTTTCCAAACAAACAAAGCAATGCAAATGTTTTCAGTTGGACTAGAACACTAGTTTTAGTCTTATTAACCCAAATCAGACTTAGACAATATTAAAATAAAATACAAAAATATAAAATTGATCAGACAAACAAATTAGCACGGAAAATCTCAATTCCCAAGTAGAAAGTACCTAGCAACAGCCAATTGGTTAGCATCAAATAAATTTCTTGATCCCTACTAAACTTATGTAGTGTTACAAGTAAAGAACCTCTTGGTCAATGTACATATTGGGGCATGCACATGGCATATTTATACAAAGGACAAACATTTCATGATCCTATGCTCTCTCATCATGCACAACAGCACGATTTCTTCATTTTGATATAGATCTCTCATAAGAGAGAGACTATTAAGAAGTCTCTCTGCACGGCTCACTGATAGAGACCTACCTATTAGATTAATAATAGAAAGAATAATAATAATAATAATAGTTGTAATAAGGGCTTAGGCAGTATTATAGTATAAATAGATGTAGAAGGAAGGTAGTGAAGAGGCTTTTTGGACTTTTGGACTGGGACTGGGAAGGATTAGAGAGTTATTCTCTTCTCTTTTGGGAGGCTTCGGCCTTAGTTACTGCTTCTCTGTGTAACCGATCTTCTTCATCAAATAAGAATTCAGTTTGGTTTTTCTTGTTAAGCTACTGTAATTGTTCTGTACTGGTGAGGTCTCTAACATTGGTATCAGAGCTGTTACATCCTGGAGACAAAGAATCTGAATCATGGAGGAGGAATTCTACCTGACACCGAAAATGGAAAAGAGTTTTGATAATATTGACCGAATTATGAGGGAGACACAAGTGAGTATGGTCGCTATGCAAGAGGCGATGAAAGCTAGCGTTGCAGATTTGCAGAACCAACTTCAAAGTCGTTCGAGGAATAAATCGCACACTTCTGATACGTCGCATCAAGAACCGAAGCTTGGAAAGGAACATGGAGATCGATCGAGCAACACCAGGCATCATCGTCCCTGTGACAAGCCGAGTCCGTCGCAATCGCTCACTAAGTCGCAGAAGGAATCGCAGGAGCCGCTAACTGTTTCGCCCTCGCGAAAGGATTTGAACGGAAATTTGGGAAAGATCGCGGAAACGATGGAGCGCTTAAAAGTGGAGAAAGAGAAAAGCTTAAAACCGGAGAAAGAAAATCGCTCAAACCTGGAGAAAGAGAAACACTCAAGCCTAGAGAAGGAGAAACGTGCGAAGAGCAAACAACATCACCGGCGAGGACGATCGAGGAAGGTACGTCGCTGTATAAATTCGAAAAGCCAAGGTTCATTGCAGTTGCCAAATTCTTCTGGTCTTCTGGTTTCTACGCGAGCGGAAGGCTCCAGTTTGAAATCTCCATCCGAATCCCCAGGTTCACAACAGGAGTTGATTATTCAACCGCAACCATCCACCGCAGATAGGCTCACCTATGGCGAAGAGAGAAGCAAGGAGAAATCTTCAGTTAGTCTTGGACCTGAAGAGGGAGCAATTACTCGCTTCCTCACTTGTAACCATCCCTGCAGGTACGAGCTCGTTAATTCAGAATTGGAAACCAACATGATGATGTCCAGAGAGCCTTCAATTGATGACTACATTCAAGTCAAGAAATACCAGGATGGGAAGTCAACCCTTATATCTCAAGGGAAGGAGGTGTTTCTTGTAACTGGGATGAAGTGGTTGATCCATTTGGGGAAATTTGAGGGAGTTTCTTTTTGGAAAACACGCAAGGGATACTGCTACATCAATTGGGATTCTAGGCCTCATGATTTATCCAGACTGAAGAATAGCAGCAAAGATCGGAGTTCTTTTAGAAAAAGTGAACTTCCTTCATCTGACAGGATAGGATGGAACCAAAGAATTATGGCTGAAGTACTTGGTGATGCAGGAGCTAACTTGGCATTCTCATCCATACAGTGTTGCTTGGTTTATGTGTTTCTTCATAGTAGCAAAGATTGTACCATTTTGAAAATGGACTCTTCTTTTAAAAAATGTGCAGTAGCAGAGAGTTTTTGGTGGGGGAATTCTATGGAAGTGGTGGGGTGGCATGATGTTGGGTGTATTCGAAGTGCAGCAGTAGATGACATTGTTTTACTGAAAAGCATGATAGAACCACAGAAATTTGATGTTAATCCTAACCCAAAGGTAGAAAAGTCAAATGAAGTTGAGCAGGTTAAAAGGGATGAGAATCCTGATGTTCAGGACATGAATATAATTTCTGCTGCTGTTGTAATGGGTATACCTCAGGAAAGAATGAAAATATGGGTGGCTATTGAAGGCCTTAAGACTAAGAAAGAGAAAGATACTTCACCAGAAACATTCTATGCTGCAGAAACATCTCAGAGTTGTGAAGATCTAATACTGAAGCTCTTTGCTCGGAAACCAGTGAGATATTGGGAAGGTAGGAGTGCAAGGAAGAAGAAGGAGCAAAAGATCTTGGTTGTCTCCTACCGCCCACCTTGAGGGCAAGGTGGATGTTTAGGGAGGGAGTATTGATAGAGACCTACCTATTAGATTAATAATAGAAAGAATAATAATAATAATAATAGTTGTAATAAGGGCTTAGGCAGTATTATAGTATAAATAGATGTAGAGGGAAGGTAGTGAGGAGGCTTTTTGGACTTTTGGACTGGGAAGGATTAGAGAGTTATTCTCTTCTCTTTTGGGAGGCTTCGGCCTTAGTTACTGCTTCTCTGTGTAACCGATCTTCTTCATCAAATAAGAATTCAGTTTGGTTTTTCTTGTTAAGCTACTGTAATTGTTCTGTACTGGTGAGGTCTCTAACACTCACGTACTGTTCTTTTTTTCTTTTTTTTCCTGCATTTTTTACTTAAATTTTGAACTTTTTTTGGCTCTGTTTTTGTTTCGATCATCTGAATTTAATTATTGATACAAGTTTAAATCAATGATGCTCTCTGGTCTGTTTAAATTCAACTGAGCTGCATATTAGCATGAAATGTAGCTTAATCGTATTAAAGAAAGATGTGCCTAGCACAAAGGATGTCAGCTTTATTGAATTGAATAACACTAATTTGATGTATTTCTTTCCTTAATCAACTTCTGGATTTTCTTCCATAAAACGCATACTACAACCTACTGTAAGTTTGCCCGTAAAGCAGGACCATTGTCTACCTACTGTAACTTGGTCAAGCCTTAAATTGCTAAATAGAATGATAAGAAAGTCATTGTATGACCAACTGTTTTGAGAAATATTAAAACCATTTCTTATTAATTGCATTCGATGATCAGAATTTAACATTGAGAAAGTGAGTACCTGATTGGGTGTTGCTGCCTCAGGTAAGGTGTCTTTTTCATCATCACAACCAAACCATACCCTTTCACCAGGAACAGAGCCTTCAGGTGGCATGAGAAGCTCAACATTTTGATGCGACTCATTAGAAGCTGCCATCAGCATCCCGCAAGACTTAACACCCCGCATATTTCTAGGCTTCAAATTAGCAAGGACAATTACATACCTGTCCTGTAGGATTGATTTAGTCCATGCATTATAACCCAACATAGAGAATCAGGATAGAGACATTAAAATAAAATCATGAACTATAGAAAAGCTAATGTATACTCAATTCTAAAAGAGTCAAATTGAAGAAATTGAAGAGAATGAGATTTCGTTAGACGAAAAGCTAGAAAATTGACAGACTCATGTCCAAATACACAGGGATACTGTCAACTGTCAAGCAATAATGAAAATTCTACAAAAGTAGTTAGGTGATGAAGAAGCAAAGACCTGAAGGTGTTGGAGGGGGATATAGTTAACAAGACCACTGCAAATGATTCTAGGTTGGGGCTCACCGATATCGACCTCTTCTACATAAAGGGAGTCAGCTTCGTCGTGTTTCCAGACCCTGAGGATTTTGCCAACCCTAATGTCCAGTGTATTGGCAGCGTCTTTGATCTCCAGTGTCGGCTGATGATTAAGAGACGACGAGTCTACCGATCTGGAAACACTAGCGGCGGGGTTCTCAATATCATCCTCTTTAGAGCAAGAAGAGGCGGAAATGGAGCTGCCGCTATAAAAGTTCCGGGATAAGACTAATCTTCTGCCTCTTCTTCCATACGGCGAGAACGCAGCAGCCAATTTCTCATTGTAACGGAGAAAAATGGATCGGTTAAGGGGATGGAAGCGCGGGCGATTCGCGATGCTAATGCTATTCGGCAAAGCGTTGAGAATAGGAGGGAGAAGCGGGCGAGAGGAAGAAGCGGAGGCGGAGAAGAGAAGGAAGGTGCTTGTCCCTTTCAGCACATTATTTGCTCCTACCATTGCCTCCGATAAATATATATCCCTTGCTGCTGCTGTCCACCGGCGAGACTATAGGCGGCGTATAATCAAAAGCAGAAGTAAATTAAGAGGCCGTTTGTACTAGGAGTGGGCACGGTTGGTTAACCGCATTTCGATTAACCAATTTGCAGTTAACCGTAGCTTCGGTTAATATATTTATAATTTCATTAACCTTACCATAACATCGGTTAACCGAACAACAATTAACCATAATATAGGTTAACCATTAATCGGTTAACCAAAAAACCATTTAAAATGTAATCCGGTGCTAAAAAATAAATACGTAATAGGATTCAATGGGGTGTCTGCACATAAATAAAATGTAAATACGAGCTTCATTTTAGAATAAAAAATTGTTTTATTCTATTTAGAATATAATGTATTCCCTTAGCTAGTCCGATACAGTATATGTACCATCGCTTCATTTTTATTTGGAGCTTCTCCTCTCACCAACTAATAATTCTTAACTTTGAAAGTAATATTTTAATTTTAGGAACGGTTATCGGTTAACCAGTGGTAGTGTTCACTCAAAACCATAACTGTACCATGTACCGTTTTTCCTTTTGGTTGGTTAACCGTACCGCAAGTTTTTCAAAATACGGTATGGTTAACCGGATAAAACATCGGTTTTTCGGTTTTCTAGTACGGTTATTCGGTTACGGTTTTTCATGTCAACCCCTAGTTTGTACCCTCATTTCAGCTTATTTTAGGCAACGCTCATTTTGGGCGACCCTAATTTTCGCCTTATCAACCAACCTTTTTACCAAACACGTAAATTTTACTTTCGCGCGCTGAATTGTGTAATAAGCTGAAAAAGTAAGGTTGGAGTTATTTTTTTAGTTGTATTGGATGAAGTTACTGTAGATGACCATTTTAGCTATTTTACATATATTTTTTTCTTTATTTTATTAATACAATATATTTTAAAAATATTTTTTTCTTGTATCAGCAGAATCAGCCAATGCAGCCACTTCAGCCAGTAATTAATAAATTTCAGCAGAATCAGCTAGAATAACCGATTTTCATGCTGCCAAACGGGCTCTAACTCCTTTCAAGCTTTCCTCTCCTATGCAAGGGCCGTGTCAAGGCAGACCATCTTCAATGCTACAATGTGCTGTGTGCACATGTGGCATGAGAGAGATAGACACAAAATATTGATTTTATAACATTTCTCTTTCATTCTTTCAACGGTCTTATGTGTTTTTGGTAAGTTTTTGTCTGCAATGTCAACCACAATGTCTACATCTAGACATTGTGCTTGACATCGTGAAGAAAAAATTACCAAAATGATATAAGATCTTTCAAATAAGGAGAGAGATATTCTATTTCTTGTTTTTAATTGATTATTTCTCATGCCACGTATGCACCGTTAACGTTTAGCATCGGAGAACTAAAGAAGGCAATCAAGTGTTTAAAAACAGGTTGACACATTTTGAAAAAAAAAACAGTTTGACAGCAAAAAGTATGGTAAATTGGAGAGTAAAATCTTACTCTATACAAAACGAAGTGGAAATGTAGCCACTTTTCCCATCCAAAGTTTCGGGTCAAAAATGGGTCAAAAGTAGACAATTCGTTTCTGTGGTCTGGGGTCCACTTCGGTGTGACATTTTGTACTATTAAGGTCATTCGAATTGCAGAGAGGAGTTATTAAGCATTTAATGAATTAGGTGGCATTAAATGGGGTGGTTGAGAGGGGCGAGATCTATTACACATTGGGTATTTCAGTTTCATTGCAAACCCTAAAAATTCGAATTCCCTATAAATACCAACATGTTTCAGTTCAAAATTACAAACCACAATGGCATCTAGCAAAGAAAACTCCGAACCAAATGGCAGTCAATCGTATTCGATGATTAGGGAAGTTAACCACACCAGAACAAACTCGGCTCTAAAAGTAAGGGTGGTTAGAGCATATGAGGTTTCACCTCAATCCAAAGGAGGTGCAAGAATGGAATTTGTTTTCCACGATGAGAACGTAATTTCTATTTCGAAAGCATTTTAATTTATTATTAAACTCCTTTTGTGGTTGATTATTCGAGTGATCATCTTCCTAATTCATTTTCCTTTCATTTTGCAAGGTGACCGCATTCATGCTGTTGTGAAAAGGCCATTCATGCATTTGTATAAAAACAAACTGCAGGAAAACAAGTGTTTCAGAATCAAGAACTTCTTAGTTTTTGATAACTACTTCAACTACAAAACTACTGAACACCCTTATGTTTTAGAGTTTTTTAAAAAAACTACGGTCTATGATTTCCATTCAACAACTTTTCCAAACTTAGTGTTCAATTTCCATCAATTTGACGCGCTGCAGAGTCTAAGAGTCATCAACGACAAATTGCTTATCGGTAATTTCATATACGAATATCCTTAAACACTTTCTTATAATCACACCATTTAATATCAGTCTTTTTTCAGATGTAATTGGTAAGTACGTCGGGAAGACTCCAGTACAAACACCAATCGTTAACGGGAAACCAGAAAAGCTGATTGAACTAACTTTGGAAGATCCAGAGTACTGTCTTAATTTTATCTATGATATTGTATTCGTTTATCATAAAAATCGAGAGTTTATGATGAAACTCTTTTTTATTTGTAGTGGAAATCGTATTGGATGCACATTGTGGAACAACTACTGCAAACAGTTCACTGATTTTTATGATGCTCATAACAATGAAGCCATCTACATCATACTACAAATGGGTAGACCCAGACGCTATCAAGGTAAGGACTAATTCAAAGAAACTTAAGTTTTTTATTTAGGCTTCAAATGGGCTCATGAAAGATTTCAAACTTATTCAGGTCATGTCTTGGTTGGAACATCTTATGATGTTTCCAAGTTGATAATAAATGGTTCTACCCCAGAGTTTGAAGATTTCAAATCGCAGTTTGGACCAGATGACGACAATACAACAATGACTACCTTCACTGCAAATTCAGTTGGTCAGGGTAGTGAGGACGTTTTTAGGGGAAAGGCTACTATCACAAACATCAGTGATTTGCTAGAGGAACCACAGGTAAAAAGATGATTTAAGCAAAGAATTTGTAAAAAAATGATCACCTTTTGTAACTGACACCTTCTGTACACAGGATGGAACCTATTGGCTACTTGGTGATATTGTATCACTAGACAACAATAAGGAATGGTGCTACCTTAGCTGCCCAACATGCAACAAGAAAATCAAGCCGGAAGATGAAAGGTTCAGATGCATCACATGTGACACGACCATTCCCGAGGGAGTGTTGAGGTTGTGTTATTTGTTAAGATGTATCACTTTCCACTATTTTAAACAAAGACTACAACTTCAAACATTAATCTGCCAACTTCCGGTATGCAGGTACAAAGTTTCAGTTTGTGTCATGGATGACTCAGGTCACGCTACGTTCACCTTATGGGATAGGGAATGTATTGATATTGTGGGGAAAATAGAAGCAACATTAAGAAAGGAAGCTGAAAAGGTTGATTCAAAAAAATACTTTTTACACTAACAATTTTGAAAAAGGAAGGAAACTCATCAAGATTTTTATTTTCAGAAAACTGGAGACCCTACCCACTTCCCAGAGGACATTGAGGCTTTGATTGATCAAAGAAGCATCTTCAAAATTCAAATAAAAGCAAGAGACGAAAGTTCTTCTTACAAAGGTCCAGTTTCGTATGGGATACTTGCAATGATAAGAGACAGATCTATCTTGGACCTCTATACCAAAAATGAAAGCCATGCACTTGAAATGGATGAAAACACAGATGTAGAGAAGGTAAATGTTTTGAAATGTTTGATTTGGTGTGGACAGCATAATATAACATTTGTTATAAGTGCAGAGTGGATCAACAGGAAACGAGATAGAAGATGGTACTGCTAGCAGTAAATCAAAATAGAAGGTGTGGATAAACTTTCCTATTAACTAATTTCGTTGTATCATATGATACTAATTTATTTGGTATACAGACTGTTCTAATTGAAGATGACGATTTCGTGTCGCCTACACAAGTTGAAAACAAAGATGACAGGAGGGCGGCTGAAAAGGTAGATGATGTTATCAAATTCTTTTTTGATAGAGTGGAATTTGTTTTCCACGATATAGAGTCAAGTAACGAGGCAATGAATACAAATTGTTTCTGGACAGGGTAAGGAAGTGGATTGCCTAGAAACTCCAACAGCTAATCGGACAGTTGGTGGTATTGAAGGGAACGATCAACTTAAGAGAAATCTGAATGACCAGTTTTCGGCCAATGTTAACATCAAACGGAGAAGTATCCGCGTCAAGAAAGAGAAGGAATAATGGTGAAGATAGACCAGCAGGCTCAACTACATTTTGCTTGAAAAAGGAGTAGATTGATGATTTGTTGAATATTTTGTTTGGGCACTTAAATATTTATTTAAAACCATGCCTTACTTTTTTGCTAAACTACGAGCTGGGCCTGTAATAAGTAACTCTGTTTTGCATTGTTCAAGTTGTAGGCATGAACAATTATCGACCTAAGACTTATATTTCACATCAAACCCTATTTTTCTATGTTAGATTTTGCAATGTCAATTTTGCAGGGTTAAAGGACTCCTAAGGATGCATTAGCATATGGCAGAAGGGCACCTACGAAACGGAAAGGAGACCAGGAGACCATGATATGGAGGAATGAAGACAGAAGAGAGTACTCCAGAGGGTCTTGATTGATATAGAAATTCTAGGCAGCAATTATTTCTTATTAGTGAGAGTTGTAATTGTTTTGATTATAAATAAAACGCAATTAAGTTATGAGATTAAATGTGGTTTTGTGCTACTTAAAGTTCAAGTATTTTCAAAAAATACTATATAGCACTATAGTTTAAACAACAAACCTACAAAAAAAGTATCTGATGAAAAAATGTGTTTGTTGGCTAAGTTTAACCGAATGGTGAAAAACGAAGTGGGAGGAAGTATAATTTATAAGGATTAAAAAATAAGTTTCAGATTAAAAAAGATTTATTAAATTTAATCTAAATTTGAATAATATTTCGAAAAAATGTTCACTATAAACATGTCATCTAATTTATGTGATGATAATTTACTAACAAAAATGTTAGTACGATAAAGCGTACTAACAAA